CTGCCCGCTCCGCAGCATCTTGCCCCGGGGCAACGGAGGAGGCAGGCAGGGAGCCGGATCAGGTGTGTTTCCTACCCACAGAGCAGTCACCTTTGCAGGGCGCGGGAACACAGCTGGCTTTGTGTCCCTGAGTTGTGCCCCCTGCTCTGCTGCGGCCGGTCATTTGGGCCACGGCTCGGGCTAGCCACCTGCGTTTTGTTGAGTCCCCGTCCCCGTCATCTCTGTCGGGGGTGGAGGAGATACCCGCCGTGCCTCGATTCCAGGATGCTCTCTCTCTCGATGAGTCTTGCGGCAACTTGAGCTGCGGACCTGTAGGCAGAAGTCGCAGGCCTTTCTGCAGGGGGGAGTAGGCTGTAGGCCGGGATTGCTCTCCTTTTCCTTCGTCCGCTCTCTCTTCTCTGCTCCCAGGGCAAGATGCTCCACCCTGAAATGCTCGGCCGCTTGGTTGAGGTTGCAGCACCATTGGAGTCGGTCGACAGCCCGCTCCTCCCAGCTGGAGTCCGGGAGTCCCACCGGTGCGACAGTGATGAGCATCTCGGGAAAGGCTGCACATAAGTAACAGCAAGACTCAGTCTGCTGCTAGGGCTTGGCAACCCCAAGGCTAAGGGCTCCTGGGTGTGATTGGAAAGCCTCAGGCCTGGCTTAAGATCGCTCTGCCCCCCTCCCGCCATCAGTGAGTGAGGCAGTGTGATGTGAACCCAGCCCCAAGAATGCAGGTCTTCCGTGCGGTGCTGCAGCGATGCCTCCTTCACGTGCTGTAGCAGGGTTGTCCTGAAAGGAGTCTGCCTCGGGAGCCATCGGGAGGTGTCTCTGGGGGCAGACTGTGCCGAACCAGGAGGGAAGGCTGCCAACACCTGCTCCAGGCAGGCAAATACTGCAACCCCAGCTGGCAGAGCAGGATGAGGGAAACTTTCGAGTCACTTCCTGCCCTTTGGGCAGGGGGCTGGACCCGATGATCTCGCGCGGTCCCTTCCAGCCCTAAGGTCTGTGAAATCGGTGGAAGTCAGGTAGCGGCTTGACATCTCTGGTTGCTGGAATTCTGTGCACGGGTATAAAGAGCAGCTCTAAACCAGCCTGGGAGAGGCCAAATGAGCTTTGATTTGATCCAGTCCCCTCCCTCTGTCTCCCTGCAATTCTCTACTTGCTTGCCCCACCTCCAGATTCTCACCCCATCTCCAAACTTAAAGATGCCTGGCCCACACCCCCAGCTCCTCCGCTCCCTCCTTCCACTCAGACACACGTGCCCTTTCCCTTCACCCTGATGACCACAGCCCCTCGCCTGACTCACTGTGAAAGGGGAACTGGTCACCGCCCCAAAAGTGTAATGCGCAGTCACCTCCCGAGTGCTGATTCAACACGACGTTGAACGGACGCTGGCACAAGCCTGTTTAAAGCAGGCAACACCTAGGAGTCCTGTGCAACGTGCTTCAGCGCAGGCAGACTTGAATCAGGCGATGGGCGAGGTGATTAATGGGAGCCGGATGTCTTCCCTGTGAAAATTATCCTTGCAATCCATAGCAAGAACCTCATATCCTATTTTAATGGCAGGAGTGCTATTTAGCTGGCATTACTGTTTCGGGAGCAGTTCTTTCATTTTAGTTACATGGTGGATCATACCCTGAAGGTTCCCCAAATGCTTTAAAGCATTTGACAGGATACAGGCGACTTGTATGGATCAATTCTCTGCTTCTGAACTACAGTCATCTCTGGTTTGAAACATGGCAGCTTCTGAACAGCACACAGCAGCATTGCACACTTCAGTTAGTCCCCATCTACTCTGGGACCTGAACCCAGGTCATCACCTTTCCAGGCAACTGCATTTAAACATGATAGTTGCCAGAAAAGGGCCATCCTGGTTTCTATGGCCAGCACAGATAGAACTTACATACTTGATCAGGAGCGTTTACAATGTTTATTTTAAAGAAAGGCATAAGAATATTTAAAGTTACCGGCCTGTATTAGGGAATAGTGGCCTATAAAACCTTACTGTATTCTGCATTAGGAACTCAGCCATATCTGAAGTCAGAAAACATGTGCGGAGCAGGGGGTGGAGCAGTAAGAACCTAGCAATGTTCAAACTGATTTAAACTAGATTTGATAGGGAAAAATATCCCTGGAGCTAACCTTTCCATGCCAGTTGTTGCCTGGGAGTGGATTTGTTTTGCTGAGCTCCAAGCCCAACTGAAAGCTTGTGGTTACAACTGAAGCACTGAAAGAGGCTCCAGGGTTCACATGGCACAGACGGAAGGGATTGTAAACAGCTCCCCTGCCAGTCTGCTGATCAATATCTAGAGGGGCTACTGAAGGGTCAGGTCTGCTGAACTGTAATCATTGGTCAGTTGGGAGTACGGTAAAGCTTGTAGATAGTGATGAAACTGTCCCCAAAGCTGTCTGACCTGGAAAACAGCTTTGGAAAACATATGTGACCCCACAAGGTGTGTCACCTCCTGAAAGAGTGCGCGGCAGGACCAGCACAACAACCTGCAGCTCTGCTCTCTGACAGGCAGCAAAGGTTACTGGCGTCATGCGTTCATGTTTTTTTCATTCCGAACAGTAAAGTACCGGTTACTAATTTATCCCAGCTGAATCACTTTGAATGTACTGCACGGGGTTAAGTTTTTGGCAGGAGAGTTCTTCTCTAGCTCTCAATCAGAACCGCTCCCAGATCCATGTTAGTCATTCTCGACTTCACATTAGTCACACGCTATTCCGGGATGAAAAGCACTGGGCCAGAGACAGCTGATGCAGCTCTGCAATGTGACCATGCTCACATTTAATACAGGGTGGTGGCCTGGGGCAACTGCGGGTTGGAGCATGCATTGCCCTGTCATGTTCCAAGCAAAAGCGGTTGTATCAAAGCCACACGAGCGCACACAAGTTTGTCCAGTGGCTGTCCACTCCCTCGCCAGAGAGGTGCTCACAGACAGCTGCAAACCTATGTAGGTGTGAGTTTGCAGACGCACCCTCCAATGGAGACCAGGGTGGAAACACGGCCTGTGATGCCTGTTAGGGTTGCTTCTAGCCCTGTCAGTATCTACTGCACAAAGCAGTTTGGACAGTGCTGTGGGGAACCAAATCCTGTTCCTGCCCCACTTCCGGACAGCCCAGATACAGACCCCTGTCAGAACAGAGTATTTCTGGGTTCGACTGGCAGACCACGTGAGAGATCTGAATGTGGTCTCACCTCAGAGTGCCGGAGTGAAAACTTCTGCTCAGAGTGGGGAGGTTTGGAGTTAAAAGAGAAAATAGTGTTCAGGAAATGGGAACGCCAAAAGGTGATGGGAACAGGTAACATCTGGCACCCCAGACAACCTGACGGACACAGGCTATGCTCTCAAGAAATCTAAGTCCAAGTGGCTGGAAGGCCAGTTTGGCAAAAAGCTGGGCCTGCGATGAAGGAATAAGGAGAAAATAGGGGAACCTTAGTTAGAGAATCCACTCCAAATTCCTGACCAAGATTCAGGGATAACTAGAAAAATCATCCATTCTCAGAGAATCCATCCCCAGGTTTGCATGGAGTACTGCACGGGGACTGGGGGCATTCCGTCAAAGCTGTGTGAATAGGCAGATAAAGTGAAATTTAACTCTGCAGAGGGCCCATGCACCACATCCCAAGCGTCCTGTGGTGAATCCTAAGTATGATCGTTCCTCCTTCCTCGGTTTTTTCAGATTTTATAATCCATCAGGCTCAAAACAGTTCATAAATGGGATGCCCGTGATACCGGAGTTCTGCAGTGGTACTGTACTTGGGGGTGAATTTTATCCCCACACCAGTCACAAGCAATAGCTCAGCAGTACTCCTAGTTTATGTAGTTCATTGTCAGGCTTCAGTACACCTGAGGAGTCCTTCAGTGTTCAGGGAGACCCCCCATATATGCACTGGAGGCATAGTTTCTTCTAGATCTGATGCAACCTGATGATCAGTGACTAGAAGGTATATATATAAAGGTGTGTGTAATATATATATATATATATATTACAAAAAAAGAAAGGAAAAAACCCTTCTTTAAGCTGCAGTCCTTAGTAAGAGCCAATGGCCTGATAGAGCATGCTTTTCTGAAAACAATCCAGAGAAGACCAAGGAGGAGGAAATATATTTTTCTAGTTAATGCCTTAGAGGGCACAGGGCAGAAACATATAGAAAATCAGTACATTGTCCAGTTGTCTTGCCAAAGTTCACTCTTTTGGACTGCGTGGTGTTTCAGCGTTGACGGTACAAAGTGCCTCTCTGTTCTACCTCTGCTCTGCTTGTGTAATACTGATTCAGCAGAACTCTTGTCTAGAGGTCATCCTGCCTTTGGACTCGGTCTAGAGGGGGCTTTTTATTGGAAAGCAACGCTGACAGTTTTTTGGGGCTTGTAGGCTAACAAGAAAAGAAGGAAGTATGGGCACTGATTTTCCCTTTCCGGTGTAGTGCTCTAGAGACCAGACTATGTAATATAATACAGCAATAAATAATAGCAATTAGTACCATAGATCCTGTTCAGTGAAGAAAAATAACATGGCTTTAACACTTTAGGGGAGGACCATGCTGCCCTAGCTCATGACTAAACAGGTACTATTCCACTGACCTATACACCATTCCTTACTTATATTTCCCTAGGCAGACAAGGTTCTTTGGGTAAATGTGATATCTTTTATTAGACCAATTAAATAGTTGGAAAAAATTGGATGGATTCAATGAAACCTGATATTTCCTCAGTTAAGGTTTCATGCCTGAATATTATAGGTCCCCTTGGGTTCCCTTGTTTGTGGATTTTAGGGAGTGTGTAAAAAGTGCTGGGGTTGGATTGGGGGGGGGTCAAGTTCTGTAGTTTTTCTTGTAGTTCATATGGAAATGATTTGATGGTGGTTTTTTGTAGTTCATATGGAAATAATTTGATGGTGGTTTTAAGTTTTTAACTGAAAAGGGGAGCAGGATCTTTCTCCAGTTTTTTGAAGTAGGTGGTGTTAAAGAGTTGTCTGTTGGCTTCTTTTATATAGTCTTCACAGTGAAGGATAACTATAGCTCCTCCTCTATCTGCTGGTTTTATTACTTTACCTGTGTACTCATAAACCTTGTCTACACAGAGATTTAAAAAAAATCTCCAGCTGTCATAGCATCACTTCTAACCATTATAAGATCTTGAGTGTAAAACAGCCACAGAGATTTTTATCTACGTTACCTAGAGTTGCTCAGAAAGGTATGCTCAGGCACATTAAAGATGCAGCTTTTTGGTCTCACTTGCACCACAAAGTGAAATGGCTTTAAGCTGGTCGGGAGCAACAATGCTGCCAGCTCTTCTTGGTTTGTTATCAGTTTTGTGATAATTTGGTGTTTTTCTTACAGCTCCAACTCCTGAAACCATGCTGGTCTGTGAGAATCTCAGCTTTTCATTTAAAAAAAAAGTTTCCAGTATTAGACCTAAAAAACAGAAGAAACCATACATGTATTATTGTTTTATAAATCTCTTTATTTTCAAGTCAAACTCATGATATTTTGGGGTGTGACACATGATTCTTGGACTTTATGGTTTACAAGTATTTGGACAGCCATAATGTACCACTGCTGCATTTGTAGTGCAGACAGAGCTGTGCTCTAGGCAGGGCCTGGTAACAAAGCTACAGTTTCTGTTGGGGCACGGGTGTACTTCACCAGCACACATTAGTCTCCGTCACTGTCCCTACCTGGTAGAATGCAAAGACAGAAGGCAAGGTGGAGGCACACCTTACAGATAATCTGAATCAACGTTCATGAACCACAGCACACCTTATCAGATGCTATCTCTACCCAAAGAGACGTATTCAATTTAGGTGTAGCAAGTATGATAACGAACCAGGAACAACAGTTGATTTTCCCCTTCTGACAGAGCTCTCTGCCTTATCTGAGTCAAGGAAACATACTGGCCTCGCTGCACATACTCAGGTCCTCTAACTGGCTGCCATTCCCTGGTGAGGTTCTATAGCCATAAATAAAATGCTCGTTTTATTTTACAGCGTCCAAGCAGAAATTATTTGCAGCTGTCAAGGCGCTGGTGTGTGTACAGGTCACAACCTGTGACTTTGTTCCAGAATGTACATATCTCTTGTGACCATGAATCCCCCTTCTCTGAAAGTAGGTTTCTTTGTACCACTGCCCAGTGACCTAATTTTCAAACCACTACAAGAAGACTGTGTTCCCAACTATGGCCCTGCTCTGCTCTGTCACAGCCTGTACTGTCTTTTCTCCACCTTCCAGCAACAGCCAGCTCCTGCCTGTTGTTCCTTATTCAGCTAGAACTTGTGGGGCAGCATGTGACTATTTCTGTTTTGTACAAAGAAAATGCATCCAGGTGAAGATTTAAGGACAGCCAGACTTGCCAAATCTATGTTTCTCATACGGACACATCTAGATATCTGAGGAAGCTTGGAGTTCAGGCTGAAACTCTGTCATTAACTCACGGGGGAAGCCAGTTTGTTTACAGCTACAAACGCGCAAACCAGACTTCAGGAAAGTTGTTCTATATTAGAACTGGATGTAGCGACCATGGAATTTGACCTACAGCATACAAAATATTCAGTAAATGCAGGCTTACCATTGTCCAACCCATACATGGTTCTCTGTCCAAAGTCCAACCGGTATTCTATCCTGGACATACCTGAGGAAACTAATTGAGCTTTTTGTGTAGGACTGATTAGTCTCACCCAGGGGTCACATGCACTGTCCTTGTTGTTTTTAACATGCAGTCTGTATTCCGTGTGGGCATGCCGAGGCTTGTACTTGTTTCATGTAATGACATTTCCCTGAAGAATGAATTATTCAGCAACAGTCAACAACAAGTTATTTTAAGAGCTGCTTGTGGCAAAATCATTCAGACAGAAACCTTCATCACAGTGAAATATTATTATAATCTCTTGGTTTCAATCGATAAACAGAAAACCAACAGTGTGGGAGTGGAAGCAGTATGGCTGCATTGTTTTCAGCCCTGGCTAGAAGCAAAAGCAGCAGCTCTGGTGTTTTCTGGTTTGCATGTCAGAGCACGAGAGTTGCAGACAATTCCCCCTCTTCGTTACCGTCCTGCAGAGACATTTTGCATCCCTGCTACAGCCCTGTGGATACAGGTCTCTAATGTAAGGGGAGTTAAAACTAAACAAACAAAATAAAATGGTGAGAAACACACAAATGAAATCCTTCATCAGAATAGACGCTTCAAAATGTACCTTAAAAATCAGTCCACAATTCTTACCTCCTAATGTGGCAAACCTGAATTTTTCACCATTTCTCTGACTTCATACTGGACCCCACGGTCCCTTCCAGGGCTGCAAGGTATTACTCTGGATAGAAAATACTCCCCTGGGACAAAACCTTCCCTAACTGGCCTGTGGCAGAGATCCAAAGAGCTCTTTGCATGCCCTTCTCTCATGTTGAGAAGCTGCCCAAGAGTTTCTAGAGCTTAAAAGAATTATATTTTTTGCTGACACTGCCACTTGCCAGATTCTGTACAAGGACCTTGCTCCTAATTTAATTTCTTGAGGTTGGATATTTAAATAAAATCAGCTTTAAAGCTCTTCTCTGCTTTTTTCACTGTGTTTGCTCTCACTCTGATGATGGGGTTTGACAAGTTTGAAAGTATATACATGGCATGTGGTACCGGATATATCAAGCAGTTAGTCCTCTTTTGGCTCTGCATAAACAAAACCAATAAAATATAGGAAATGGAGGAAGAAAAATCAGACAATGGAAAAAAAACAAGTGATAGAAATGTTGCTTAAATGCTGAAGTTGCCATAAATTGATGACTATAACATTTCAGGACAGTGGTTATTGCAGTTTCTCTGTGCCTTTCCTGTTGACACTGCTTTGTCTAGCTTTTCTTCCTGTCTTCTCATGCATAAATATACAGTGTGCGTGTAATTGTTTGTTTTTAATTCTATTATTATTTAGGATGACTTCTTTTCCTTTAATTATAAACTGGAAGGGTGGAGCAAGACCTATTATATTAAGGAAACCAAATGTATCTTATTAGTTGGAGCAAAGCAAGCAGCATACACAATGTATAACTTTGTAACAATTTGTGTTATTGGTGCCTGTGAAAGAGTCAATCCTGAAAGATTTACCCACAAGTTCATTCCAGTCCATGGAAAGTACTAGCAGTAAATGGAACATTGCCACGTGATGGATTTTGGGCTCTCTCACATCCCAGCTATAATAACATAATATAACAGGAGTCCAAAGCTAGATCTGGAGACACAATGAAACTCAATTAGCAGGAATACTAATTCCACATCAGCTCACTGGAGGAAGTGATTAAATGACCCAAGCTTCTACTCTACAAACAGGTAAAAACCAGTTTGTATTTCAGGTGCCAGCATTAATCACTGACGGGTGTCATGAGTTCACAATAACACATTCATATTTGCAATCAGCTTAAATTGTGGAGGAAGAAAGTTCCAGGAAAGGGGCCACATGGTTACAAAAACATTTGGCTCATGCTGAACATGACACTTTGGGAGGCACAGATGCTTATACTCAGCTGACTAATTTCCAAATAATGTGATTTTCCAGCTCTTGTACACAAGCTTCTCTGGTTCCTGAACTATTCCCCACTCCTTCCCCCGCTTCACCACACAGCATAGAAACAGCAGCAGAGAATATTCCAGGACACAATAGTTGCTACGTCATGATTGTAACTAACAAGGGTGCGTGCTTTGTGGGTTGTGTCAGCCAGCTTTCAGGTTTCTCCTACTTCTCCTACCCTCCGCCGAGGTCTGGGCGGCCCTGCGAGAACGTTCCCTAAAATTCTGGGATCAGACACGAGGCTTGCAAGTTATTGCATCGTGTGTGTGTATGAGAAGTGGAAAAACGTGCCTACAAAACTAGAGACAGAGGAGCTGTGTT